GCGTTTGATTTGCAGCACTACACTTGTTGGACATTTTAATTACCTTCGTCTAGATAAAGGTCTAGACTTTCGCATCGTCCATACAATCATACAGTGTATACAGCAGTCTTTTACTTCGAAGCAGAATCAGGTTTAGACGTACGATTTTTCAATGAAAGGTACATAAAACAAATATAAATTATCCGACAGAAGTTGTTCAGCACAAGGCGTAGTAGTGTCTTTCCTCAAATCAAGCCACAGTCTGATCCAGCTTCCTAATGCGATAGTCCCAATAATTCTTCCGAATAGGATCAAACTCATCCTTCAACATCGTCAACATCCTCACAGCCTTTTCCTCCCCTCCAGCCTCAGCAAAAACATCCGCCAGCCACTCAACAGCATGCGAACTCTTAACGGCCCCCTCCAAAACAAATCCACCAGCAAAACCCTCCCACTCCCCTAATCCACGCCCAGCAGCCCGCAGCACACCGCGCGCATACCACCACGGACTCCGGTTCTCCGGGGCGCGCAGGATAGCCTCCTGCGCAAACTTCAGCTCGCCATCAACCAAGTCCTCATCGACAACAGACAGCCTGCCCTTATCGGCCGGCGCAGTCGAAAGATCACCCGCGTTCACCATCCCCGCGTCTGGGACCGATGTGTCCCGTGGTCCGAAACGGAGCATGTACCGGTGGTTCCAGGCGGAGTTGTTGCGCACGTCAGCTTTCAAGAGGAATTCCACGTCTTCGAGTTCGCGCGGTTGGTCCCATAGTCCGAAGTGCCGCACGAGCCAGTGACGGTAGGTCCATACGTGGTAGTTTTTGGAGTCTTGGGCGAACATCTCCATTAGGAAGTCTGCTTCTTTGGGTGGGAAGGTTGGGAAGTGTGCTTTTGATGATAGCAAGACTTGGCGGTGGTGCCTGTTTGAGTTGTTAGGTTTGTTTTTGGGATTTATATTTTCCTGCCTTTTTCTTTCATGGCTTTTCTGGTGTTGGTGGTGTCGACATACCAAATTTGATAGTTTTTGAGGTACTTCAATGAAACATCGTTCAGCCAGCTCAATTCTTCATCCAGATCCTTTTCCAAAGCAAAGAGAATCTTTGCTCGGTAGATCCTGTATAAAATGTCAGACGTCGATGTTGGCATGTCCCAAGGCTGTTACTAGCCAACTTACCATACGGTGTAATGCGCTGGATTCATCGAAATCACATCTTTGGTCAAGTTCAATGCCCGCTCGGACATCTCGTTCGCGGCCATCACAGCACGCAAATACGAGGTCGCCTCGAGGTACTCGGTTGGGTAGGCGATGGTCGCCAGTGGCATGGCATCCGAGCTCGAACCATCGTCCAGGTCAATTGGGGTGACAGATGCCCACTCGGCATCGGTCGAATATTTTCCCTCCATGATTTGTTGGAGATTGCAGTGAGAAACTTTCTGAGTGGAAGAATAATTGTTGGGATGCAATCAAATAGTGGGGGTACAGGGGTCAGATGCACAGGACGAGTCCGGGTTAGGTCTCCAGACTTAAGGCTCTGCGCTGCCGAGAGCTAAGTGTGCAATCTCGATCAATCAAGCTGTTGAAAAGAGGATAGTCCAAATAATAGACCGAACGCGAAATGCAATGAATATAAAACGTGAAGTGGAGGTGGGGCGGATGTGTCTGCCTCAGGCGCAAACAAAGAAACCGAACAATATCAAGGCAACCCGCTTCTCCTCCTATTCTTCTCTGTTCTCCTAGGGTCTTGAATGGCAGATTTATTTGCATTATTATTGGTAATTCCACAGTCTTTTCTGCTCCTCAATCCACCATTTCCCCACTTTCTCCGCGTCTACCAGCCACTTTCCGGCTTTGTCTCCATGCTTCCTTTGTACACGGCCGATCAACTCCCCAAGGGACCACCCACGCAATGGACTTAACTCATCCGGGTCGGTATCTAGATCAGAGAAAATGTACTCAAAGTCCTCAGCAAGCGGCAATATGAGTCGATACGGGACTGCCGCAGACCCAACACTGAGCATTGTACCACCGGGGTTGATAATGCCGAAGTTCCATGCCTGTCGGCCATTGTGAGTAGCTTGGTATGGGCGTATCAATGACTGTCCTTCGTATTCATTTATCAGGTCTAAAGCCACACTGGAGTCCATCTCGTTCAACGAGCCCGAGTTCACGAGTAGATCGATAATGGTCGGGACGACGGACATCGAGGTTGCATTCGCAGTTATTTGCAGTGCGGGCAACAGCGGGTGTCGGAAAACGAGTGGAATTCGGAAATTGCTGATATGTCCGTTCTCGTATGTACCAGCGACTGGCGCATCTTCGGGGAACGCCTGGCCACTGTTTGGGATTAGTACATGGCTATTTGGTTGTTGTGCGAAGTTACTGAAGCTAGTGCAACATACTGATCTCCCACGAATACCACTAATGTTTCGTTTGCAATCCCGGCTTCGTCGAGGACCTTCATCATATCGCCAAGCCATGTGTCCACGTATCGGACCGTATTCAGATATTTGTTGATGTCCTCGTGCTTCGCCATGAGACTGTCTCCGGCAAAGTATTCCTCTTCGTGGTATGCTGCGGGCGTGCCCCATGGGTGATGGGTGGTACTCGTGAAATGGGATAGAAAAAGTCGTTCGTTGTTCTCGATTGTATTGTTCACCACATCTCGCAGGTATGGGTATATCTCGTACTCCGGGTATCTAGGTAACATATTAGCAATGTGAATGCAGATGCTCAGTCGGTGGGAGAATACTTACCCGAAGTAATTGATCTCCTCCATGTCTTTGTGATAATATTTGGCACTTTGCTGGCCAATGTCTTCGCGATAGATGTATTTTTGGAACCCCATCTGCTTGTTGAGCTCATCTTGCTCCTCATACAGTCCTGTGATCGACTGCAAGAAAACAGTGCTCCAGTTTCGATCATGAATGTGCTCAAGCCCATTACCAGGCGTACCCTTCTCAGTCGAGTTCTTTTTAAGTTGGTTGAACAATTCAAAAATCTGCATAATACACGGCTGATAGTTTTTGGAGTTGACCTCATCCATGAAGTTCACCGGCAGAGGGCCCGCGCCGCAATAGTTCATGACTGCGCTTTTGAATGATAGACTGCTACCAGTGAGGACACCATGGACATTGATACCCCCCATTCCTGGTTCTGTCGTACCATTCCATCCACTAGAGGGGCTGGAAATGTTGTTACTTGTCGAAAGTCCACTCGTCTCACCGGTCAACTTCTCTGCGTTTGGTGTCAAAGTTGATAATTTGTCGTTGACCTCTTGGAGTACTTCGGGGTCTTGGGTATTATAGGACGATAGAATCATCTCGTGCAGATGTGAGCCTGCCTTGAAGGGAAATATATCCTTCCGAGCACTTTCCATCAACACAAGTACGACATGTGTAATGGGAACTTGATGTTTCTTGAGAACCTGAGCTATGGGCTCAAGCATTTCACGATTGAAATTGGTGATTCGGAGAGGGTCATCCGTGGGACGATAAATATTCTTCTGAGAAGCCCCGTTCTCATTAAGAGTAACGCCCCCTCCTTCATCGCCGGACTCTCCTTCACTCCACCGGTCGAACCCTGGTGGTAAATCCCCAGACGCCCATACGGGTCGACTCTTTTTCGCGTTGGAGTCTGGCTTTCCCGGGGCCCAACCCTTGAAGTGATCGTATGGACCTTCCCAGTATGGCTCATCAATCAGGTCTGCGAGTGGAAATGATTGATCTCCAGTCTGATGCAGCTCAGCAGGCCTCGAACCCAAAGCCCAGAAAAAGCTGAATGGGATAGTCTCAGACATATGGTTATAAGGTACCTGGGGCCGAGCCAAGCGCAAGAATCCAATGAACACCGCGGCGCATACTGTCCAAAATTGAATGAGTCGTGCTGTCCGCGACTTTCTTTGAGGGCTAGTCACGATGCCTTCTTCGTCTGCCTTTTCAGTTTGTGCGCTAAATAATGCAGACATCCAATGGCCTATGAGAACATATATCCAATATTTGAGTAGCCATGAAATCACAAGAAGGGCGCATGCGGCTCCCAAAAAAGATCTCAGCCCACTCAGCATCAGCTTTCTCCCTTCTGGATCATTTCCAACGGCTGTGGCTGCATCCCAACGGATCTCACTGCCAGTCACAAGATAGAACCCAATTTGAGATGAAGACAAGACGAAGCTCAGAGCTCTGTAGCAGTCAAAATATCAGTCTCCTTGATTCTACCTAGAAGCAGAGAAGTACTTACGTTATGGCCACTGTCACTGCAGTGCCCAAAAGTGACTTCAACCCCGTAAATTTGAATAGCAACTCCCACGCAGCCACGCATAAAAGTGTCTCCAGGATGAAGAATGTCGGGAAGTAGATTGCGAATTGACCGCCGGGAAGAGAAAACGCATGTTGGAGAAGATGAAGCACTTTAGAGGATATCACTGAGACAACCAGCAGCGAGACAATGAAGGGCCTGATAGAAGATTGGCGTGGAATAATCATGATGAATGAGATAGAGCTGGGAAGACCAAAATTCACATTGTTGCCTCCAGTTCACCTCGCTTGAATCCACGTTCAGTTCTATCAGACAGCACTTATAGTAATGACGGTCGAACTAAGATTTTGAATTGTGCGTTTAGTGTTAGGAAGGCCTGTTATTGATCAAGATGAAAAAGAGCAACTTCATCTCTGTAACAAAATACAGATGCGGTATTATGGCCATTGTTTCACTATCTGAAACCGGCTTGATGTTCAATTGTTTGTTTATGTACATTTCAACATCACCCGAATAGTTCAAGGTATGTCGCCTCCACCCGAATAGGAAAGAGGTCAGGCGAGCCATCAAGGGGTAAGGGGTAAAAGGGCAAGTGCTCATTTACTGCTTTGGGACGGAATTCCAAATCGTTCATTGGAATGTAGGGCGGCCAATTTCTATTGCGAAATAATAGTTTGACGCTTTTGTCTGCTGAGACTGGCTCCTCCCCTAGCTCAACATTGTATCATATTACGTATTCGTGAATATATACAAACTCGGTTTGGATTCACGCAAATGTCTCCCCGCCATTGTTTAAGTATTCGATTTCCTCCGGGGTAGACACTCTTCCCAGTGCCTGATTCCGATGCGGGTATCGTCCAAACCGCTCGATGATCACTTTATGTCTCTTCTCAAAATCAAGAGCATTGCTCAAGAATGCCTGTAGTGCCTCTCTCTTCTCGGATAGAATGCTACGACATTTTCTTTCCTCTTCCGTAAGAGCCGATGCGTCCCTGGCCAGAAGCTCATTGACATCTCTGGCTATATCCTCGTGCACCTTGACGGCTAGCTCATGCATAGCCAAGTTTTCCGAATGCATAAGTGGTATATGGAACCAAATACGGTAAGCCATGCGATACCTGAGATACGGCGATCGGATCGGTACCTCTTCTTTAATTGCTCGAAGGACAATCTCCTCGGCTAATGGGTCAAAGCGCCCAAACACTAGCTTCGACTCTGCTCCCCGGTAGCAATTGCGGGGAATCTGATCAAGTAGAAGAATGATGCTGAGCCAATCCATCGGCGAGGACAGGCTGACTGCAGACAGAATGTCCGAAGCTGATGCTCTGGAGCCAACGATTGTTTCTAGGGCAGGGCAGAATTGGGTGCTGTTTGAGCTCGTTAATCTTCTATGGGGTTAAAGTAGGGCAAATGGTCACTTACACGCAGACCTTATCAAAAGCCTCGTCACGAGAGAACCACTTCCCCATCTCGCTCCATCCGGGTAGGATGAGGGCCTCTTCGCAGCTCAGGTGATTGAACCACAATTTGTGCACGTCATCAAGGAGGCTTGGTTTCAAAGTCTGCTTGAGTTCGGAGTTGCTTGACATTGGGATGGGAGTTGAGTGAAATTCGCGAGCATAGTTACTTCTGCAGGAATTACTCTGCAATTGAGGCCTTCCAGTGGGATTTGTATGGAGACTTGGGGTTGATATCAGGCCGTTAGCCAGGATCACGACTGGTTTGAAAGTCGCAAGTCTTTGACAAGGTACAGTGGTTACCTATATTAATGTTAGACTTCTTGAATGCTCATTTGGACTTTTACTTACCTTGCTGCGCACTATATATGCCATGATCGAGTCTTGTCCAGGTGTAGATATCAATTGCCAAGCACCAAGCCCCCGACCTCAAACGCCGTGGCTGAGTCATCATGAATTTTCCCACCCCTTGGAAGGTCAAAACAATACTCCGTACTCCGTATAGACGTTTGTTTTATGATTTTACTACTCCGTACACTTGTACTATGTAGATGCTTGACGTAGTCTTCCATATGGTATACAGTCATCAAATCAGACATCGTCATTTCTCTCGTTTCACCTGCCCAAAGAGGCAAAAGAATCCCGTTTATCGAGATAAGCCCCGATTCTCAACGATTTTCCCCCTCAGCCTATACTCCGCATCTTGAATGTTGTCGGATCTCCTCAGATTCATCCTCTTTATGCTTTATAATGCGCCGCGTTAAGAAATCTAGAAATGGCTGTGCAAGATGCAAGAGTAAACGGGTTTGTGTTTCCCGTCCCCGCCCGTTCGGATATCACTAACATGCAAAGGTCAAATGCGGCGAAGAGAAACCTCACTGCACTCGCTGCACTCGCTTAGGCGTCCGGTGTCCTGGTTATGCACAATCTCTGCGCTGGGTTACCAAGTATGAGCAGTCTAGTCCCACCGTACCCGCATCGATCTCGGAGGTGAGAACACCAAGTCCTGCGGCTTCTGCCTCGACTGGTCCTAGCCAGCCGGCAAACCAAATCGACGATGCTTTGCCGGAGGATTCAACATTTGAGACGCATGAACCGGATCCTCCAAATTTCGTCTTAGGTAGCCGAACTTCTCTATGTGACAATCTATGGGAACATCCGAGCCATGGGTCTTTACCCGAACTGACGGATCTATGCTCACCGTCCCCGATGCCGGCATCGCCGTCTTTCACACACCAAAGAGACACTTTCCTTGACTTTGAACAGTCAGATAATATCGGTGTGGACCTGTCACACTTTCTGTCACGTATCGGACCGACGCAAAGTGAGGAACAGATTGATGTTTACCGCGACTTCTCACCTTCGACCATTGTGCGCAGTTACCCTCCAGCATCGCATCGGCCCTCATCACATAACTTCATGTCCATATCTCGTCCACTGAATAATCCATCATGGACTTTGATCGAGTACTATTTCAAAGAAGTAGCAGGACTGTTCTCTAGCTATGACAGCCAGATGAACCCATTCCGAACCACGGTATCCCGTCTTTGGGGATCTTCACTGGCAATGTGTCGAACAATGCAAAGCATGGCTGCTGCAACACTGGTCACCGAATTTCCTCAATTCGGTCCCATGGGCCGAAGGATGCGTGATGAAGCTGTTGATATAATCACGCGCGAAGCAGTGATAGACGACAAGTCTTTGCTGGCGCTGCTAATGCTCGGGCAAACGGCTAGTTGGCACGACCCAAATGACTTGGGTATATCATTTTTCAACCTGCTCCGCAAGCAGCTCAATACCATCTCTTCACCATCGAACGGCTCTAGCTTCAGCTTACCTAAGAACGACAGCAATAACTACCGGTTCTTCGAGGAAGCTCTCATCTACTGGGAGATGCTGCTTTCCTTCGTCGCAGACAATGACACGATGGTCCTATCTAACAATTCACGGACCGCTTCGTCTATTGGCGAGTCCTTCGTTCTACAACGGGTCCCGCACCCGTGGACCGGCATCGCGCGCGACACCCAGTTCACCGTGCACGAGGTCGGGCAACTCATCCGCCGTGAGCGAAAACGCATCCGCTCAAGGCGATTCACCTCCCAAGATGATATCACCCGTGCACAGTTGGCAATCGAGAAAGCCCGCGAGCTAGAAGAACACCTCCTGGGCCTCGCTCATCCCTCGGAGGCCGAGATTGTCAGTCCTGGTGACGACGATACCCCAGTATGGCACCTCCTGACAATGGCCGAAGCATATCGATGCGTCGGTCTCATGCAGTTATACCGCGTATTCCCAGACCTACTGCACAAACGCCTGCCCACCCCAATATCCACAACATCCCAATACCCTGACAACGCCGACGCAGCATCCCGCGACCCATTCTTCCCCATTGACCTCGACAGCATGGACCTGTCAGCTAGATTCGGGGGTCCTAGTCCAGCAACAGGACAAAACACCAAGTCTCAACGTACCGCTGCTTCACCGTCTAGAAGATCTTCCTCTCACAATCTACCATCTCCGTCATCACCAGATACCCAACAATCCCCGACCCCCGAAATCCTATATAGCAACTGGCTCACCGAGTTCGCCGTGACAACCCTCTCCCGATTAAAAACCATACCCCTGGAATCACGTACCCGCTGCCTCCAGCCATTTCTCCTGGTAGCGTCCTGCTCAGAGCTCCGTCTCCCGCGTCTGGCCACAAATGCAGGCACTGAAGCCCGGAATGGCGAAGATTATCCAGAGGGCAGGGATAAAGATAGTTACAACTCAAATCAAACACCTACCATCTCAATGGAGGCCATTGAAGTCTCGCGCACGCGCAAGTTCATCCTTGGCCGTCTAACGTCCTTCTTGCATGTTCTGCCGCCAAAACCGATTCATATATGCTTGAAGTTGGTTAATGAGGTATGGAGGAGGCTGGATGCTGGGGATGATGATGCTTATTGGGTTGATGTTATGATCGAGAAAGGTTGGGAGACAACTATGGGATGAGATAGTGCCAAATTGGGCTTTGGAGCTCCCATTTCAATGATGTGAAATCCCTGTTCACATTTGCAGCCAGAGTAGTTGTTGGCTCCATTTATGAGGACTCTGTCATACTCTGCTGGATGTTATGTTAGGCTTGTAAATGTATGTCTCGAATTAGCAATAGCAGTCGTCTTATTTCAAGTGCCGGTCATGGATTAGAGGTAGAAAAGACAGTGTTAGATCAGATGCAGTACCTTACATTTAAAGGAGCAGTCTCACAGGTACGTCGAGTATCTCCTTGTAGAGAAAGACACAAGGAGAGCCTTAATCAAAGAAAATCAAAGAACCAAATAAAAATGATCATGAAATTCACACGCCTACAAGCACCGAACTAAATCAAAACCCAACACCAGTATTCCTCTTTTTTTTCTTGTTTTTTCATCTCCAGAACCAACCCCCGATATCGAGTATACAAATGCCCATGCAAAAGATCCAAATTCAAAAACAATTGCTTCAAGTGCCCCGAGTGTATCCCTCCCACCACTTAGAGAACATGCCTCCCTTGGCAGCCTGTTCATTCCAGCTCGCGCGGCGGATGGCCATATCCGCATTTGTGGATTCACGCTTCTGTGTGTGCAGATTCGAGAAGAGGCCGTTGGAGCCGGCCGAGCTGCGGCGACGCTCACCTAAGCCTGGGGGGTTAGGTGTATCTCCTTCGGCTGGTTTTCCGTTCGAGGTGGATGTGGATGTGTCGGAGTCCTTCATTTTGGGTGTTAGGTTGGTTTTGGAGATGTGTTATAGATGGATAGATGATGTAGTACTAAGGGGAATGGACGATATATAATAGAAATCCACAAGAGGCAAATGACATACCCTCCTATTGTTCGTTATAGGCATCGCCCACGCAGCACGACCGGTAGGGCTCTTGGCACCGCCACTCATCCAGACATTAGAGTGCTCGAGACGGTCACCGGGGGTTCCGTGCCAGTTGCGGCGGGTGTCGTCAGACATGTTAGAGATGTCTAGACAGCTGGAATAGTCCGTAATGGTTTGTAGTTCTTCTGAGGGGATTTAGTATAATAAGAGTGAGAGCATGGAATTCTAAAGAAACCAAGGAAATACTAATCATGATGTCTCTTTTTAAGGGTTGGGAATCGACGACGTCATTCTTGTTCAGGTTGCCCTTTGGGGATAGATGGGATATAGAATAGGTGAGAATTTAAATGGAACATACCTCAATATTCTCGCAGATTAGCTTGAATTAATTAAATTGAGTAGTAAGAGATAATCCAAGGAAAGAGGGGGGAAGATGCCCTATAAGAGCATATTCAGCTTGCTACGTTACAGGTGGTGAATCACCGTCTGCTGATTGAATTTGGACTGGTCTAGTTCCGTTACCAAGGTCAAGACTGGTACTTATTATATCCAGTACCTGTACTATTGGGTATGGTCATGCACTACAGGTATTTCACTACGCCATGTACTGTGCTTTGTAATAGACTAATAAGCTGTGATGTACCCCGGAGAGCCTTGACGTAGTTGGAATGCGGGGAAAGCTTGGCATATAGTTTGAAAGATATCAAGGTCGAAGCTACATATATTTAGGGTATCCGGTATTTCCTCCGTGGCGTCTATACTTGCACCTCATAACTACGTATGTAACTATGTACCTGTAGGTATCACACCAACCTCTCATCAGCATCTCTCAAACCCTTCCAAACCCTAACACCCTCCTCCCAATCCGCATCCTCCACAATCTTAACACTCCCATCCCCCCTCAACGTCCTAACCCCCTTGGTCCCAGAAACCCCCCATCCGAATTCCTTCTCCCCACAAGCAAACCTTCCTAGCGGCCCAACAAACCCTTCCCTGACAACCCTCTTCTCCCCCTCCTCCAACAACCCACCATTCCCAAAGAACCAAATCGGATAATCCGACGAATGCGTAACTCCCCACTCAACCGGCAAAGTCTTCTCTACACACTTCGCCCGCCACTCAATCCGATACCGAAACAGCAACGCCGAAGCATCAACCCCGGCCTCATTCTCCGTCAGCGCATACACAAGCCCACGCTGCATCTGATGCACCTGCATATCAGCGTAGATCCTCCCCCACGCGTCCTGGTCCCAGTTCTTGCAGTTCGTCGGTAGACAGCCGTCCGGGTAATATATCGGGATGACGCCGTCGACGATGTGTTCGGGGTAATCTGCGACGAGACGGGTGCGCAGCGCGGAGAGCGTGTTGTCTGTCGGCGGGAACCATGTGCTGTAAAGGAAGCGCTCGTCGCGACATTCACCTATTATGATGCGGATGTTGCGGGCTAGGAGGCTGCGGGCGAAGGCGCCGTTGTCGAGGGTCGTGAAGAGGGACGGGGAGATGAAGGATGTGTCTGTTGTTGGGCGGAA